GTCCCACCGAGATTTACTCGGACAACGGCACCAATATGCACGGTGCCGACAAGGAGCTTCGAGAGGCCTTCCGAGAAGAAGCCAGCCGACGAGGCATAGTCTGGCGATTTATAACCCCCTCCGCGCCTTTCATGGGAGGGGTGTGGGAACGGCTTGTTCGATGCGTGAAGACGGCACTATACACCGTCCTTCATGAGAGACATCCGCACGAAGATGTCTTGACCACGCTGCTCTGCGAGGTGGAATATACAGTAAACAGCAGACCATTGACTCACATCTCAGTAGACAGCAAAGACAACGAGTCCATCACTCCAAATCACTTCCTATTGGGAGGATCTGCGAGACTGCCAACACCTGGAGTTTTTAGTGAAGAAGATGCGAACAGCAAAAAACACTGGCGACGCTCCCAGATACTCGCTGACATGTTCTGGCAGCGTTGGGTCAAAGAATATCTGCCGGAACTTCAAAACCGGCGGGAGGCCCACGGTCAAGGCCCCGATCTCCAGGTGGGCGATCCAGTCCTCATAGCTGACAGCCAGTTACCTCGTAACACCTGGCCACGAGGAAGGATTGAAAACATATACCCCGGGGCGGACGGACAGATCCGCACTGTGGAGGTACGCACAGCGAATGGACTAATCAAGAGGCCAACCAGAAAACTCGTGCCGCTGCCGAAGTAGAGGCAACGTCTCTCACCGAAATTATGCAGCGCCGCTGCGACGGGTCTTCGCGACGCTGCACGGCGGGAGAAATGTTCGAGACGGCCAAAATGACTGTTCACAACGGCAAAAATGACTTTAAACGAGAAAGTGATTAAGGAATATTTATTTGTTTAAAAAATGAAAATACGGAAAAATTGACTAAATAATGTATTAAATATAGTTTCACCATGTATTTACAACTCTCAATATGTTTGTATAGAAGGTCGATTTGACAATAGTTAATATAAACAACTTTATTTTGTTTAAGAAAATATCGACCAATCACAGCGCGCCGCGCTATAGAACTTTCTGGAAATTTAAATTAACTGCGTAATAGTTTTAAGCAAAAAATTAATGAGAATAATTTTATGTCTGAAAAGAGTTGTAAATATGGTATTTAGTTAGCATATGATGTATAGATCGTTATAATAAAGAAATATTTTGTATAATTAAGCACGACTTAAAAGTTATAGGATAATTAAAGAATTAATATGACCAATTAGTGTAAAAGTTTAGGACATTTCAATGAATAACCTTGTTAAATGTAAATATATTAATTATCCTTTATTGCATACTAATGTAGAACAAAAATGTCTATTTGATGATGTATAGCATGTTAGAGTTAAGATTTGTATTATATAGAAAAGTTGCAATTTGTGCCATTTGCATAAAGAAAAATGATTGAAAATAAAGAGGCAAATGGGAATTGGCAAGCGGCTCTCTATAGAGTATAGCCGAAGTCTACCTTATGGGGGCAAATCATAGTAACATTGTAGTAGGAAGAACTACCAGTAACAAGCAGCAGTATCCGGTAGTAGCTGAAGTGACTAGTAGCAGAACACAGTGAAAAGTTAAAGTGAAATAGAAAAGTTTAGCTAGCCGAAAAAGGTCGTAACTGAAAAATCGCAGTTACACATAGTCGGAAAAAGTGGCAACTGAAAATTCTCAGTTGCACATAGAAAAATAGTGTCAGCTAGCCAAAAATAGTGGTAACTGATATTCGCAGTTACATATAGTGAAAAAGTGTTGGCTAGCTGAAAAAAGTGGTAACGAAAATTTCGCCGTTACATTTCGTGAAAAGTGTTAGCTAGACGGAAAAAGTGGTAACTGATATTCGCAGTTACAAAAGTGTTTAAATTCAACTAATTTTAGTTGATTAATAGCTGCTAGTCAGTAGTGTTAGAAAACCAGCTGCTACCAATAGAAATTTTGGATACTACCAATAGAAATTTGTTACTTTCAATAGATATTTAAAATTACCAATAGAAATTGTAGAGAATACCAATAGAAACTTGTTACTGCCAATAGAAATTTGATATTACCAACAGATATTTTAAAAATACGAATAGAAATTTTAGAAAACCAATAGAAATTTTAATATTACTGTGTGTTTAATTAAATCTGTGTTTTAAAATATATAGTGAACAATCATAGTTGAAAAATAGTGATAAATAAATAACAGTGTAAAATCTCGCGACAAATTAATTAGTCGATCCGCTGGCCACTCCCTTGCTATTTTAATTTACAAATCGTGCATTTTAATTTTGAACCTCAGTCCATAGTTTATCCGCAGCAACCAAAGAGACGGCAGTGAAAGACGGCAGTTGGAGGAGTCTGGAACCTACAGGTGTAGGACGTGAGCGACTCGCGGGGTATCTCCGACAACATTTACTCCGGAGAATTACGCCCGTCCGGCACATATTCTATTTAAATATTTGTATGCCAATAATTGGTATCATATAGGAAACAATTGTTAACTGAAAATGAAAATGTTTATTTATCTCACAACAGTGACATGGATTAATGAGACGTCTTCTCTAACTTTACTTCTTTAACGTATTACTTATGAATTATGATCAACAAATAAACGTATTGTTATTCAAATTATTAGGTTTATATAGTTTATTTGTATGGTTGGATTGGTTTGGTGGGTTAAATATACTGATACTGTATATACGTATAAATAAATAAATAAAACCCAACCAGATGGAAACCCTTGGCAGGGCAGACCAAACGGTCGAGGGTTTGAGCGAAAGAGGAAGAAACAGGCGAATGATGCGGGCGGTATCGAGGAGCATCGCCTTGTGCATTTAAGCCCGAAGCGGTCCGTCACGGTGTCTCAGTCGCCTCAGATCACCCGAGAGGCTGACCGGGATTATCCCGCAGAAACGACTAAAGGAATAATTTAGGTCGGCAGAATACCCCACATGTCGGTCAGTCGAGCCAGGTCCAGATATTTTGTTCACTTATCTGTTTCGACTTTCACGAAGTTCTCATAATACGGAATGGTAATGTCGAAAACATATCCTTGACTGTCATCTTGGTACCGCTGAAGGGACTGTAGCCCAACTAAAATTTTGCCGGAATCAAAAGCTTTCTCACAGTTCACATACGCAAATCGAAATGACAGATTTTACTCCTCAGTCTTGTTTAATTTGCTATGTGGTCTATGGTACTAAAACCTGTTCGGAAACCGACCAGTTCGGAAGAATACAAGTCATCAAGATTGCGTGCGAGACGATTCGTAATGACTCTCGAAAACAGCACGTATAAGGGTAATCGGTCTGTAGTTCTTCAACAGAGCGTTGTCGACTTTCTTGAAGAAAAAGACTACCATATTTCTGCTGTGTTTCAGAACGTCAAGCTTAAGCTTAATATATTTTATGTATTATTGTAGGCCATGTTTCGTTTAATCTTGAAGAAAGTCATACATGTTAATATTTTTATATATAAATTATAATGTTAATCATCCAATGTTCCTACAATATTTAAATCCATAATATATTATCCTTAAAAAGTTTTAAATGTGAATGTTTGCCTGTTAGAGTCATTAATTTTCGCTCAAACCCGAAACGATTTTAATAAAATAAATTTTGGCTTAGAAGTCGATTTATATCGTGGAATAGAATATAGGATACTTTTTATAATGAACTAAACTTTAATTCACTAGCAATGCAGGCAGGTAACAACTTTGTTAATCACATAACAAGAAACTTGTATTGTACTAAGAAAACGGAGCAAATTTTAGACACACATTTTTAAAGATTATTGATATTGTTGTTCTATATCTATGAAACAAAAAACTTTTTTCTTTACTTTCTATATATAAAATATATGTTCTATATTCTATATATAGAAAGTAAAGAAAAAAGTTTTTTGTTTCATAGATGAGTTAATTAGTCCCAAACTGCAATTGCTGCGACAAAAAAAGATCTTTAAAAAAACTTATCTTCAAATTACTTTCAGCCAGGAGAATATCTTTGAGAATATCCTGGCTAAAAGAAATTAAAAAAGGAGGAGGTTCACAATTCGCCTAATTGTTTCTTTTTGTATGTATGATACGCGATATCTTCGCCAATTGAAACCCGATTTTGAAGATATTCTTTTTTTTATTAAATAGGTTATAGGTTTTTTTATTAAAATTTGGAGAAAAAATTCCACTCTAAGGATAGCAAAATAGGGGATGAAGTTTTTAATATAAATATTTATGAGATATTCAGATTATGATGCTCCTTAATCAACTCAAAGCAGTAAAGAAAAAACTTATAACAAAAAGTAATAGCTGACTTCAAAGAACTGAAATGAATAAAATAATTTCACATTCTGAAGTCAGTGCTAAGGTTCGGATTTGAATTAAACATTAATATAGAAATCCCCTCTTCACGTTCTTCACCTTTCTGCACGAGGACTGTGGTAGAAATTACATATAAAAAGGGGTAATGTAAATGTATTATTTACTAATTCGATGCTACTACCATATTTGAGAGGTCTATGGCTAGCAGTGTGTAGACTGTTACCAGCTGAAATTGGCTATTTTATCCATTTTATTTCGAGAGTTAACATCTCTAAATTATTTTTTTACATAATGACTTTGAGGAAGAACAACGAGTGAGACAAATTACATGATTAATAAATATTAAGCATAACATTGTCCTCATGTATTAAATAATAATAATAATATTCCACATAATAATAATAATAATAATAATATATTCCACAACTATCAAACAACGCCATCTAGTCCCAAGCTAAGCAGAGCTTGTGTTATGGGTACTAGACAACTGATAAACATACTTATATATTTCTAAATACATAAATATTATAGATAAATAAATTACACCCAGACACAGAACAAATGATCGTGCTCATCACACAAACATTTGTCCTGGGTGGGAATCGAACCCACGACCTCCGGCGTAGCAGTCAGGGTCACTAACCACTAGACCAACAGGCCAGTCGAAATGAAATGTGACAATATAAACAATATGTTATAGGGGTTAACAAGATCAAAATTCTTACCAAGATCGATAATATACGGTCTAACGCGTCTGCCCTGAGAGCCGTCGGGCCTGGTGAACGGCGTGGCTCTGTACTGAAGTGCTGCATGTTGCTTGCTGATGGAAGGATGATCCAGCGGGATGTCCACGACTTTTTTGTCTCGACCGATCAGGAAACAGGATTGTCGATGAATGTACAAAATGGGCAATGCTTTGTCGCCCTTAAATGGATAGAATCTAAAATAAAAATAGAATAGTATTACAATCAATAATTGTACTGTAGATCACGCTAATTTGATTTGTTACTGAATGTATTTCGGAAACAAATCAAATTAGCTTATGATAAATATAATTACAGCACAATGAACCACCGTATTGTAACTCCGTATTTTGGAAAAGACATATTAAAAAAGAAAGGTTCTTGAGTGGCAGCCTCGTACCGGTAGGCGAAGTGTAGGACGACCCCCCACGAGATGGACTGACGACCTGGTAAAACATGCAGGAAGTCGATGGATGCAGGTGGCTCAGGACCGTGCTTTGTGGCATTCCTTGGGGGAGGCCTATGTTCAGCAGTGGACTTGTGAAAGGCTGTAATGATGATGATGATGATATTAAAAAATATACTACAGAAATCACCTATCTTATAAAAACATACAAATATTTGTTTAATGGGAACTTAAAGTATTTACCTCCACCTTCGTTTTGGTTGTTTTGCATCATCAGGCTCGGAGTACTTAATAACTACACCATTCACTGTATTAGCATCCGCAGTCAGCTTGCCAGAGAGCCCGAAATTGGGTTTTTCCTTCTCAACTTCAGTTTTGCTCCCTTCTTTCTTCACTTCCGCTTTTCCCCAGTCATATTCCTTCTTGTCATCGACATCAGCAAACCTAAAATAATGCAATGATAAATGTAAACATCTCATTCTCTCGCAACTCACAACTCATCATGAAAGAATTTTAATATAGCACATACCTGCTCTTCCGCTCTCTAGGACGATAATCGTTATTCGGTCCCCGTGGACGCTCCTCACTTCTACGCACTCTCTCGCGCCTCTCCTCTCCACTTCGATCTCTCCTTTCCACCCTGTCTTTTGTCTCCCTCGGTGGCCTTCCGCGATCATCTCGCTCTTCTCTATTCTCCAATCTCCTACTCTTCTCCCTGTAGCGATCTACTGGACTCTTGGACTTAGAATGGTCTCTACAAAATAAATTAAATGTGTTGTAATATTTCAGGAATTATATTCATCATGGATAAATCAGGAATATCTAGTGGCTTCCAAAAGGTGAGTAAATAATTATTTGGAAAACTACCTATTCTCAAAAGCAGTAACAGACAAAAGCATCTTAGATGCAAGATGAGTTAAAGGAATCCAATCATCTAATTACCTGGGAAGCCACTGCAGCAATTTTAAAAAGCCAATAACCTATTTACAGATAAAAAGGTAGGCGTTCAAAGCATAATTAAAAAAATACCTGTGTGGTGGTAATGGTGGTTTTTCGATTCTGGCAGGATGTTCTCGTCTGAAGTCGCGGTTCCTATAATCGACAACAAACAAGGTCACCATACAACAAAAAAAATCACTAACACAAAATAAAACGAAAGCACGTAAATAGCTTTTCCTTAAGAAGTTTTGTTGTATTACGGAGCTTTTTATCGGCATATCCAACAAGCAGTTAAGTTTTAAAAATTGTGTTTTATGTTGAACATTTTTTTTTAATTTTGTTAAAGAAATAGACTACGTATTAATGGCCAAATTGTTATGTTTAAATTATAACAGACAAAATTTTCCCCTTCACCGGAGGTGTGTTGCTCATGATAATCACATCAAAATATGTGTTAAAATTATCGAATTATAGTGACTGACATAATACCTGATTTAATAATTTTAATTAAAAACATGTAACAACTAATTCATCGAAATGATCTTCAGCGCGTAGCTTGTTACTTTGACACTCCTATATCATAGACTTACCATAGCTTTATACTTGGCAATAAACGATGATGTCATGGTGTTACCTAATAAAGCTCATCCAGTCATGGATTTTTCAGTTTTAGTCATTGCTTTTCTACTGTTTATTATTTCATTTTTCTTTAGGTAAATCTCTCAGGTAATCTTACAAGTAAATCTTCAGTTGCAGCTATTGTTATCAAAAAAAAAATATATTCATATTCATTATCTTTAATAGTTTGAATAAAACATTTATTTTTTGTATTTATTATGTCATAAGATTAACTTATTTCTCAATTTCAATGTAACATATACATATCATGTTACATTATTATTCTCTCTTTCACTATCTCTGTATAAGCACCAAAGATACACAATGCGTTCTCTTCTGAATGATATCTCAAGTATCTCTGTGGATGATACTATTCACAGCTTCAACTCTTTAATGTCTAAGTTGCACAATTTTGAAATTCGTTCTTTAACTATGCAGTTACAATTTAAAATCAGTCTGTTCAGCACTTACGCAGTCAAGAGTTAAGAAGACCAAAATGTATTTACGGCAATTTGTAATGTGTTTTGAACTTTTTTCTTTAAAATATTTTTCATTCTCCAATAGTACCTTAAATATGAATCTTGAATGTAACAGTGAAATCTTCAAAATAAGAATGGTCTGCATCTTTCTGCTAAAAGCATATGAATTATACTCCTGTATAGGTTGATTAGGATTTAAGTTTTATAATCACTTTCTTCAAAAAAGGTAAATTTAATGAATCATAAAATTTCCCACAAAGCTGTCTTTCGTGAAATAAATTTCAATCATGTTCTATTTTCTTTTTCTAAGAAAGTCGGCATAAATCCGTTCTAATAATCAATTTTAGCACAACTATAACTTTTCAATAATTGTTTTCCCACATAAATAAAATTCCTTGATTTTCCCATAATTCAATGATTATATATTAACTCAAATTTCTAAAAAAACAGGGGCACTCGAACAAGTTGCTAAACCATATAATTTAATCAGTAGTCATAACCCCCTAATAAATCATTGTTTCAAACTACATATATTCGGTTCTTTATTTATCTGGAGGAAATATAACAATTTACAATTTCACACATGCCTAGAGCAATTATCGTGCAATGTGAAAACATTTAGATATCTTTGCAACAGCAACATGTTCTGACCGAACTCATTATAATTTTCTGTAGAGACGTCACTGTAAAAACAAACACAGTCATTTAACGGCACGGTTAAAAACTGGCCAGCTTGATGTCAACACACATGCAGCAGTGTCAAATATAATTATTATTATGGACGAATTAAATTTATTTTGTAATATTAAAATAACTAATTAAAGAAGGAATACTTATTAAAACTGTTAATATAGACTATTTCGAATGATTATGAATTTACCTTTCTGCTGAATATCTGTCTTCACGATATCTCTCCTTTTTTTCTGTATATTCTCTCTCGCGGTAACGCTCGACATCAGGCGGACCGCGTCTTCAAAAAAATTAAGTGTTTATTGCATAATAACAAAAATATTACTTCAAACTTCTAAACTATTTTATCAACCATATTTTATTTAAACACTTAGTACAATTTGACACTATGTGTTGACGAAATTTGGGCGGTGTTGCAGTCCCTTCAGCGGTGCCAAGTTGACTGTCTGAAGTGCTTGTACAGTAGGGCTACGATGACTATCCGAGTACAGAACCAGAGTACGAAACCTATCCAATTGCAGAGAGGTGTAAGACAGGGTGACGTTATATCCCCGAAATTCTTCACCGCTGCATTGGAAGACGTTTTCAAGCTTCTGCACTGGAAAGGATACGGTATTAACATCAATGGCGAGTACATCACTCACCTTCGATTTGCCGACGATATAGTCCTTATGGCAGAATCGCTGGAGGACCTAAGCACCATGCTCAATGACCTCAATAGTATCTCCCAACGAATAGGTCTTAGGATTAACATGGACAAAACAAAGATCATGTTTAATGTCCATGTCACACCTATGCCGGTAGTTGTTGAGAGCACTAAGCTCGAAGTTGTTGACGAGTATGTTTACCTGGGACAAATAGTCCGACTAGGTAAGTCCAACTTCGACCGAGAGGTCAATCGACGGATTCAACTCGGTTGGGCAGCGTTTGGGAAATTACGGCACATCTTCTCGTCAGGTATAGCTCAAAACTTGAAAACGAGACTGTACAACCAGTGCGTGTTGCCAGTGATGACCTATGGAACTGAGACGTGGTCCTTCACTGCTGGCCGGATGAGCAAGCTCAAGGTCACTCAGCGAGGTATGGAAAGGGCTATGCTCGGAGTTTCTCTGCGTGATAAACTTCATCATTACAGCCTTTCATAAGTCCACTGTTGAAATGAGGTTATCCGCAGTAGAACCATAGTGACCGACACAGCCCAACGGAATTAGTAAGCTGAAGTGGCAATGAGCCGGCCATATAGCTCGAAGAACCGACAACCGATGGGGCAAAAAGGTTCTCGAGCGGCGGCCTCGTACCGGCGGACGAAGTGTAAGGGGTCCCTCCACTAGATGGAGTGACGACCTGGTAAGATATGCAGGAAGTCGATGGATGCAGGTGGCTCAGGACCGTGCTTTGTGGGAGTCTTTGGGGAAGGCCTATGTTCAGCAGTGGACTTGTGAAGGGCTGTAATGATGATGATGAACTATTTGGTTACTGAAACACGTTTTTTTTCGAATGAGATGTTTTGGAAGAGTTGTGGTTCTAGCGAAATAATTTTACTTAAAATACATAATGACATGTGTAGAGTCGTCATGCTTTCTTTTCTGCATCTTTTTCTTTTACGTGGTAGAGCCATGCTGCAGCTATATTACGGTTGTAGCACGAATCGAAAATCGTTGTAAAACGAAAAGGGTCGGCTCGACCGGGGAAGGCCCACGCTCTCACAGAATACCAGCGTAAAATAGCAGCTCAATTCTGCTGTGTTTCGTATGGTGAGTGTAGAGAACCGGACCCGTTTTACTGGAAACGAAGCATTCCATCTTAGTCCTCACGGGTGACAACGCATCTGCATTTTGATTCGTAATCGAAGATAGATGCAGATGCCTATGGGCCACAGCAACCACTTACCATCAGATGGACTGTGTGCTCGTTTGTCACCCTTATGCTATAAAAAAAAATGCTGCAGCTATATTATGGTGGCTCGACCAGGGAAGGGGCTAAGAAGTATACGACCCTAGGAGTGAAGAATGTATTGCTATAGAACTTGAAGGTTTGCGTATCCGAAACAACGAGTCATATTTAGATTTCTGTAATAGGATCCAATCCGTTCGTAGTGTTTTAATATCGAAAGTAAATAGATTAACCGATCCGAATGTAAAGAGTAGCAAAATTATTATATATAATAACACATCTTTAAACGTCTTTTTGTATAATTTGCCAGAAAATATGGTGCGAATTGTTCGCTTAAAAGCGCCCAGTACACTAGAAGAGGCTTTAAGCGTGGTCATGGAAGAAGTCAACTTCCATGAGCAGTATACCTTACGTAATAAAATGTATAGTAATCCTAGTAATAAACTAACGCCACCCAGTATACCAAATAATAATCCTACGTTTAAATTCGGTTCAAATAATTTTAATTCAATGGCACCTATGGGCTATAAACCCGAATTAACTCCTAACAAATTTAACTTTGGACTTCCGCAGGGGTCACAATCAAAACTAACTCAATTTAATAATAATCAACAAAATTTTGGATACCGCCCCCAACAATTCGGCTTCCGCCCGCAACAATTTGGTATAAGCCCGCAACAGTTTAATATGCGTCCACAACAGTTCGGGATGCAACCACAAACATTTAATAAACCTCAACCATTCGGTATGCGCCCACAACAATTCGGTATGCGCCCACAACAATTTGGAAACCAACAACAAAACTTTTATAAGCCCCAACAATTTGGTTACAAGCCTCAGTTAAATAAAAATCAATACACTGGGCCCAGTGACGTCACAATGCGAACGGCACCACCACTTAAAACAAATCAACAAGGCTTTCAGTTAAATGAACTCGACCTTGATAATACGTATTACGATGATGCGTGCGGCGATGTGTACCCACTTTCTTATGATAACTGCTGCTATGAGGAGTACTCAAGCAGTGGCCTTAATGTTCCCGAGCTCGATTATTATGAAAATCAATATCCGACAATAATTCCTGAAGTAACACAAAGCGTCCCAACCAATATGGACGACAAGGATTTTCAGGTCGAAGCCTCGGAACTTACGAAAAAATAGAGTTAAATTGTAGTACTAACTTTGTCACGTTATTATTTTATTTGATAATAAATAAATAATAACAACAATTTTTTTTACAATGTTTAATAACACTACTTATAAAACTAGACTAATATAAGTACTTCTAAAGAGACATTTAATAACACTACTTGTAAAACTAGACTAATATAAGTACTTCTAAAGAGATATTTAATAACACTACTTGTAAAACTAGACTAATATAAGTACTTCTAAAGAGATATTTAATAATACTGCTTATAAAAAAAAAACTAATATAAATACTTCTAAGAAAATACTAAGTTGACTAATAATAAAAAAAAAACGCAAATAAAATAAAATTAACAGGTCGCGGGTTCGACGCCTTTCAGGATCAGGAGAAAAAAAGCAAGTACTTCCCTGGCACGACTGGCGGCGAGTCCGGCGGAAGTGGTTGGAGATATGTGTCCTTTATAGACCGATTTCGCTTGCGAATTCAATGTATATTTTATATATATATATATTTCATTTAATTCCAAATCCTCCCATCTTATCTCGTTTAGAAATAAAATAATAAGAAGGATGTCTCAGCCCCTGGCGAGGTTCCCCAATATAAGGGGAACAACCGTTAATATTTAATAATTATTAACAAACCTATAAAAAGCTATTAGCTATAATTTGCATAACGTATGCGTTTTGAATTATTTAATATAGATGCAGAAATGCATTTAGGCGACTGGACCTTCACGGTCACACTGAGGTCAATCGTCAGCCGCGCGGACTATTCATGCACCCCCACTTGTCTTCGCGCGAATTAGATGACACATTACAATACCCCGCTGGCCACCCAAGGATTTTTCTTCCTATAAGTAGAAAAATCCGCAGCAAAACCAAAAAATATGCTATTTAGACAATTTAAAATCTTTTATGTGCCATGGCCCTAAATATTTACCGTGCATGTCCTCCAATTCGTACACTAGAGGTGACCTCTTTTTAGTTATGCGGCATTTAATAAATTTTGGGGCTAATTTTTTATTAAAATATTTGTGTTTATCACTCAGATAGTAAGTGCGCTTAAATACAATATCGCCTTCGTTAAATTCTGTGAACCTTCTCCTTAAATTATAGCGTTTGGAATTTTGTTGATGATGATGCCATAGTGATGCCTGAACTTTGTTGAATATTTTAGCGAGATAACCGATGTTCTCAGCATAGGCGTCTCGCGGTAAGAAAACAATTTCATCGCCAAGGTCGTTGTCAACGTAGTGAGAACCACATATTACCAATTCACGCCCATATACAAGGAATGAGGGAGTGTAACCAGTAACCTCGTTAACGGAGTTGTTTATTGCAAACAGTATTTTAGGCAAATATACATCCCAAGAACGCTGATCTTCTTTCACAAAGGTCGATATACAGGTGACAATAGTTTTATTATAGCGTTCCACCAAATTAACCTGAGGAGTATATTTAGGTGTAAGAAAAACGTTAGGAATATTATACTTATTAAATAACGCAATGGTCTTCTCACAAATAAATTGGCTGCCATTATCCATATACACCGTTTGGGGAATGCCATGTGTTAAAAATACAGAGTCTTCCAGATGTTTAATTACAATGTCGGCTGTAGCTCTTCTTACCGGAAACGCTAAACAATATTTGGAGAAACAACATGTTACGACTAAGATATAAGAATTTTGTTTTCTACTAACTGGCAGGGGTCCGATGAAATCAATTGAAATAATTTGGAAGGGTCGGCAACACTGTTTAGGTCGTCCCATTTCTCCTAACACATTATGAGTAGGGAGTTTATAAGTTAAGCAGATGTCACACTTCGTAACAAACTTTACGACGTCCCGATGCATACCTGGCCAAAAATACTGCAATGCTAAACGGCGATAAGTTTTATGGATGCCTAAATGACCTGACGTGGGTTCTGCGTGATTTTCTTTGATAACGTGTTCTCGTAATTCTAATGGAACTACTTCTTTCCACGAAAACTCTGTAGTTAATAAACATTTATTTTTTGAACACCGATATAGCTTTTCCGCTTTGATAAGAAAATTTTCATATTTACTTGGATTGTTCATACAACCATTATAAATGTCTAGATACCATTTATCATTCGTTGTTAAGTAAGATTTTGCTGTGGAAATAGAAGAAACTACGAGAGCGCGAGATAACGCGTCTGGAATAATGTTATCAGCACCACGTCTATGCTTGATAGTAAAATCAAAAGAAGATAGCCTA